GTCCCTGTGACGCTTTTGAGAATTTGCGTTTAGAAACTCCCTAATAGATGATGCATAAAATGGAAAATAACGTTCAAATGAAAAGAAACTATGAGATATGAAGCATATTCTGCAGAAGTACTGGCTCACAACGTGTCAGGTGTTATTCTGGAAGAAATCCTGCAGCTCTATATCGAACCTCTAGGTTTGAAGAGGTCATTCAGAATAAAATAAAATATCCAGGACACACTATTTAATAAATAATGACCTCAAAATTAAATTATAATAAAATTTAAGTTTTCAACAAAATAATTCAATTCAGAATAAAAAGCGTGGGGTGCTTGATATATTAAATGTTACAATCATTCTATTGGCAACTATCTATGAGAGGGGTTATGAAAATATAGTAAAATGCACGCTTTTTACCCTGAATTATTCCGTTAATAACTTAAATTTCATTATAATTTTATTTTTAGGTCATTAATTATGATTGATTGTTCGACCATATACAACTGTAATATAAACTCTTTGTAATTAAAAATTATTTTCTACTTTTTAGTTCGGTTAGCTATAAAAGCGTGTTTTTTAGTTTTTTAAACTATACTAAGTGACATATAAATCCGAACACCCAATTTAAATAGTTTTATTTTAATAAAAGTTGGTGAATGTCTCTTATTTGCTCTAATCTTACTGTAAATAACAAGTGAAAAAATTTTCAGCCTTATCAGTTGGACATTCCGGTTTTATACTGCTTTTTTTTAATTCACTAACGCTCTAAAAATGAATATTTCAGCCGCAGTAAAGAATCAACGTTGGCGAATTTTGGTTCTTGACATCCTTTACGATCGGTTACGATGCCTAGAGTACGGAGACCTGTACGATTTCGTCAACTTAGTGAGTTTGATAGGGGCCTATAGTGGGACTTCGGGAAGCTGGACTTTCTTTTCGGGCAATTGCAGTTAGAGTGCAAAGAAGTGTAGACACTGTGGTTAGGTGTTGTCAGGCATGGCTTCGAGAAGGCCGTACGCAAAGAGCAAGGGGCACTGGACGCCGCCGTAGAACAACAGACCGTGAAGATCGCCGCCTAAGATTATTGGCCTTAAGGGACCGTTTCTCCACTACTAGGTCCATTGCAAATGAATGGTTTGCAGAACACGGAAGACCTATTGGCATGCGAAGTGTTTACCGACGAATGAGAAGTTTTGGCTTGTTTTCATACCGGCCACACTGCGTCCTCCCTTTAACTCGAGAACACCGACGTAATCGCCTTGAGTGGTGCAGACAACGGTCACTCTGGGATCAGGAATGGAACAGTATTGTCTTCAGTGACGAGTCTTGATTTTGTTTAGGCATGCACGATGGTCGTGCCAGGGTTAGAAGGCGACGTGGTGAACGGAGGAATCCACAGTTTTTTGTTGAAAGACATGTTCATCACACTGTTGGAGTTATGGTTGGGGGTGCTATAGCTTATGGTTCCAGGTCACCTTTAATCTTCATCAGAGGTAACATGAACGCGCAGCGTTATATCCACGAAGTTCTAGAACCCCATCTTTTACTCTATCTTGACACCCTGGCAGATCCAACTTTCCAACAAGATAATGCCCGACCACATGTTGCAAGAGTCACAATAGACTTTTTTTATCATTTACTTATTAGCTTCATTAAGTACTTATACAAAATTTTATTAAAATAAAACCATTTAAACTGGGTGTTCGGATTTATATGTCACTTAGTATATTATTTATTTTTCATTTTTTAGTTCGATTTTGCAATTAGTTTTTTGTGGACATGTGGTGTTGAAATGTCTTACGAATCATTTCGTAATCTAGTCAACTCATTTAAAGCTTCACTGTTGCATGGGATTTTTTCCTGCCGAACCAACAAAAACAAAGTCTGGAACTGCACGCATGCGCAGCTCGCGCGCTAGCTCTATCTTTCTTACTCCCCTACAGCGGATCTATAAAAGAATTTATCAATCCTGGCGGTCCTAATAAGGATAATGGAAAACTGTTATCAAATTATCGCATTGTCATCGGTCCTTGATACGTGTGCGAAGTTTCAAATAAATCAAACATACATACATACAGGCCAAGCTAATAAAAGCGAGTTAAAATAATGCATGTTTGTGTTATCACGTAGTTGTGAATCGCCCTGTATATGACATAGTTGCCTGCAATTTGTTGTAGAAATATGTTCCATGTATTTTATAGTAATGGAGCTATCAACTAAAAGCACTAAAAACTCACCTTGTAAATACACTTTGCCAGTCAATATACAGAAAAATATAACACTTTACAATTTTGAATATTACCACTCCTACCAATAGCATGTCCCTTTTAGATGATCTGTTATTTATTTAGGTTCATTTCATTTTTTCTAACTCTGAGTTTGACTGGTCGTAATTTTACAAATATGCTAATCTGAAATTGCCATGTAAAGTCATGAGGATGTTGGAGCGTAGATTTTATGCATGTGAAACACTAGGTCGATCCACATTTCCTTTATAATTTCGGTGCTTCAAATTCAAGAAAACATAACCACATATTTGGCAATCCTAATTATAGTACACATGATCGCATGTTCACAAAAAATTCTCACAAATTTACATACAAAGTAAAGCACGAAAAACAAAAGAACAAGCAAGCTTGCTTGGATGTTCCATACTCGCACCATATAAAACCAAAGTTTACAGACTACCAGAAGTAAGGTCGCTTGAGGGAAAGTCTTCCATACTCACACCTCTCAAGGCAGAATTTGAATTTCAAATTCGCGATTCCGTTTTAAAACAACACCAAATCGTGTAAAGCATAAAGTCTTGAGGGTCAATTTGTTAGAGCTAGTTCGATATTTTAAGATTAAATCTTGTTTTCATAAAGATATGAATATGAGGACGAACATAGCTATAACAGGGAGGTGGAACATGACCCGCTAGATTTTTTGTGTGTATTAGTATACTAAGTGACATATAAATCCGAACACCCAGTTTAAATGGTTTTATTTTAATAAAATTTTGTATAAGTACTTAATGAAGCATAATAAGTAAATGATAAAAATTTCAAAATGATTGCACTGCTTTAAAGCTCTTTGACCTTTAATAATGTGTGGATGCACCCTGATGTGCTACGCATTCTCCAACGCGCCTAGGCATGCTTCTGATCAGGTGGTCAATGTCCTCCTGTGGTATCTCATTCCAGGCAACCACCAACTCCTCTCGAAGTGCTTCTAGAGTCTGAGGAGGACGTTGCAAATTGAGCAATCTCCTACCGATCATATCCCACACGTGCTCAATTGGGGATAAGTCAGGAGATCTTGGTGGCCATGGTAACAATGTGACATCATTATGTTGAAAGAAGTCTATTGTGACTCTTGCAACATGTGGTCGGGCATTATCTTGTTGGAAAGTTGGATCTGCCAGGGTGTCAAGATAGGGTAAAAGATGGTGTTCTAGAACTTCGTGGATATAACGCTGCGCGTTTATGTTACCTCTGATGAAGATTAAAGGTGACCTGGAACCATAAGCTATAGCACCCCAAACCATAACTCCAACAGTGTGATGAACATGCCTTTCAACAAAAAACTGTGGATTCCTCCTTTCACCACGTCGCCTTCTAACCCTGGCACGACCATCGTGCATGCCTAAACAAAATCGAGACTCGTCACTAAAGACAATACTGTTCCATTCCTGATCCTAGAGTGACCGTTGTCTGCACCACTCAAGGCGATTACGTCGGTGTTCTCGAGTTAAAGGGAGGACCCAGTGTGGCCGGTATGAAAACAAGCCAAAACTTCTCATTCGTCGGTAAACACTTCGCATGCCAATAGGTCTTCCGTGTTCTGCAAACCATTCATTTGCAATGGACCTGGTAGTGGAGAAACGGTCCCTTAAGTCCAATAATCTTAGGCGGCGATCTTCACGGTCTGTTGTTCTACGGCGGCGTCCAGTGCCCCTTGCTCTTTTAGAGCGTTAGTGAATTAAAAAAAAGCAGTATAAAAACCGGAATGTCCAACTGATAAGGCTGAAAATTTTTTCACTTGTTATTTACAGTAAGATAAATACATTCACCAACTTTATTAAAATAAAACCATTTAAACTGGGTGTTCGGATTTATATGTCACTTAGTATATATGACAGATTGGCGTATTCTCCTCGCTAACATTAATTATTAGGAATTTTGTCTAGTCGATCTAGTGAAGTTACTCAAGAAATATCATCACTAAATCCTAGCTAGTCGCCGTTGGAAGGGTGTAGTCAGATTTCTCAAAAAGGAAATATTGGGTGATATGCATAAAGGTGAGTGGGTTCTCAGAAGTAGCGACTCCATATTGTAGCGAGTAACTACTCCTGTTAGGGAGAGCCTACTCGGTTTTGATATGCATAAAATACTTATCGAGAAACGGAGAGGCTACTCAAGTTCTAATGAAATACTTGAGTAGGCACTCTGGTTTTCTAGTTCCGACTTGTATTTTGTTGTCTCGCCGAATTGGCAATTTCTCTATTGCGAGCAGTTACTACTGTATACCGGTAAACATTTGTGTTGATGGTGTTTAGGTCGATTATTATTTGTTCATTTACATGATGTCAACCTATTCTGAAGACCATTCATCTGAAAATCAAACAGTATTTGTTAATATAATTAAACAGTATCCTGTTTTGTTGGAAAAATCTAGCATCCCGGAAATCAAAAATAAACGACGTAAGGCGGTTGAAGAAATAAAAGAAAAGGTAGAAGCCGAATTAGGAGTTAAATATAATGAAGGGCAGATTTGGAAGAAGATTCAAAACATAAAAACCAGATTAAAAGCGAAGACAGACATAAATCATACCGCAAACAAACCAATAAAATTGAAAGGATGGGAACAAGAACTGTTCAATTTTCTACAAGGAGAATCAAACCCTAGTATTGCTCGATTGCAATGTTAGTTGTATTTGTTTGTTTTTCCATACAGTAGGTATAAGATGTGATTGAGTATAATATATATACATGTCAATAAATATAAATAGAATATATTTTAAATTTTAGGTGCTGTTGTGGCAGGTTGCCCACAAAAAAAGCGTTGATTACATTCCAACAGCCTGTGCTGAAGAAGAAACAATCACCGAAGAAGCATCTAGAAGTGCAGGACCAGTACTGAAAGCTACCACAATGAAAGCCGGATCCAGTAAGGAGCCTTCTAAAAAAAAGGAAAACGAGGATTAGTGGAAACCGATGAAACACGAGATTTATCAATAACAGAGCTCCAACGTATCGTTTTACTTGAACAACTACAAGTGTTTCGGCTAGCTAAGGAACTGCTACTTGACAAGAAAAATATTAATGAATCTGATCCAAATTTATCAACTTTAAATGAAAGTGCAGAAACTGGAAATCCAATTTTCATGAGCCTATTTCCAGGGCAGAACTGACAGAAATACTTCATGTTTCATAAATGTTATTTTTTATTAATTTTAAGGTCTTTCTCTTAACTTACCATTTTGAAAATGTTATTAATTTTTTTATGAGTAATTAAACATCGTTCTTCAACGTATATCTACATAATTTTTAAATTTGGATCATGCTAGATACTTACTTAGACCCGAAAGCCATGAATAATTCTTGACATTGCATCTCTTCTAAATTGACCTCTGTGACGTATCACTCCATCTGCATAGTCGGCAGTATGTTGGTTATGGATTTCTTCTTGTTCGCCACATCTCCCGATATATAAACAGCAACATCATCAAGGTGCTTAGCCACATTATGCAAGATAAAACATCTCATGACAAGGGAGGACACTTTTTCTGTATCGAGGCGTATTTTGTTATGTAGAATGGGAAAACGCTGTTTTAGTTGAACGAAACATCTCTCTATTATAACTCGCTCTCTCGTAAACAGCCGATTGTATGATCTTTGTTCTGCTGTTTCTAAAATCCTAAAGGGAGTCATGAGCCAAGGAGCTATACCATACCCAGAGTCTCCCAACAAAACAGCACTAGCCCTATTCCATTTCATAACGTTGTATATATCAGAATTCTTCCATATCCGAGAGTCGTGTACAGATCCTGGCCAAGAAACATCCACACTTGTGAACTCTTCGTTTAAATTGCACGTTGCTTGTACATTTATACTAGCAAAGTTCTTTCTGTTCACATATTCGTCTGCATACATAAACGGCTTCAGAATAGGTATATGTGTGCAGTCGATAGCACCAATAGCTGAAGGAAAATTGAACTTTTCTTGCCACTTATTTTTAGCATTGCGTAGATCTTCACATGAGGTTGGGAATCTAATCCAAATATTCGACTTCTGCACAATGCGTGTTATAACGTTGGTAACGGTTCGGGATACCGTAGATTGATGGACACCAATATCTTCTCCTATGCCAATTTGAAATCCTGGATCACCCACATATCGTAAAAAAACCCTCATTCTTTCTATACTGCTCAAAGCACCGCCCCTATATTCTTCTGTCTCTCCAAGAAAATGGTTACTTATTTAACTTACTTATTTTAACTTTACTAAACAGATAGTCTACTTCCCTTGATTCCCTACGATCTTTAAACACCTTCGTAGGCTGATAAATAGGCATAAATTCGGCCATTTCGTGAAGACATCCCCTTCTTATAAAGCTGAGTCTACTACTAATGTATCTCGCACTTCTTTAAGTAGGTACTCAGCGGTCGGAGTGGACGTTCGCTTTTATGCATATAAAAATTAAAGTCGGCACTCAAGGAGCGAGTACAGCCTCACGGAAAGAGTAGAAACTTATGAGTGTGAGCTTCTACTTACATTTTTATGCATATCAAATGGAGTGGATACTTTAAAAACGCGAGTCAAAAGTAGCCACTCGCCTTTATGCATATCACCCATTATCTCTGACGACGAACAATTTCGGCAAAGCGGTCGCTATTATCTGCTAAAAGAAACTACTCACGGGGGTTACAGGTGCCTAGAAGTTTTGCGTCGACGTGCAATAGTTGTTTGAGGTCTGAAGATGGTCTCGTTTGACCCCGGGGTGAGCCTACTATTAGTGTTCCTCGGCACCATGTAAACAAACAAAAACATCGCGTGTAACAAAAGCGCAACGGCACTATCGGACTCGCACTCTAGATCCGTTCGACTGCGTGGCGTTACCAAGCGAGTAAATTACCCAAAACAACTGAAGGGTTACCGATATAGCGGTAGATCATATACACTTTCATTCGCGTCACACTCTACAACTAAAAATGTTTCCGATATGTGTACGCGCAGGTATGGAATAAGGCGCATAGGACACACAGTGAGCCCTTGCGCGCATTTCCGCCAAGATAGCCTTGCATCATGCACATCTTATATCTACAGTCTTCGGGTCTGTAGATTAAGTGATGAGACTGGCAACGTAGCGTTCGATCTGGCCACACTGGAGGCGCCGGGCTTAGAGGGTAAACAGAGGAACATGTCATCCGCATTCAGTACAAGTTTGAACTCGTTCGAGCCATTTTGTTGTCCGTAACTATAGTTTTCGTGAAACAGCTTTTTTTCTATTGTAAAAATAGTTTCAAGCAACGGTGTGCTATAATGTTTTGCTTCAGACTTGGGCACAGTGCAACGGAAACTATTGCTTAACTTCAGCAGGAGGTTTTTTAAGGCATTTTCAGAAGGAGTCGATTGAAGACGAACCACGAAGCGGAAGGCCTTGATCTTCAAAAACTGATGAAAATAATGACAGAATCCGTTCAGGTCGTCGGTGGAAAGTAAGTATAATCGGAGAAGAGTTAAATTTGACTCACACCACCATTCACCAGATCAAGAACAACTGGCTGTTGCATGACGATAATACTCCTGTCAATGTCAATAAACGAGTTTTTGGTCAGTAAATCAGTAAAAGCATTTCTGTGGCTCTGCAGCCTCCTTATTCGCCTGACTTGAGTCCCTGTGACTTTTTTCTCTCTTCCCGAAGTTGAAAAATCACCTCAAGCGAACTCATTTTTGGACAGTCGAACATTTTAACGGCTGTAAGCAAACAGCTGAAGGCTATTCCAGTGTCGGAGTGCCAGCAATGCTATGAGGAGTGGAAGAAGCGCTGTCTGGCTTCAGAAGGAAGTTATTTTGAGGGTGACAATATAAAAAATAAATAAAATCAGTCTTATTACTTAATTCACAGACCTCGTAAGATACTAGATTTCACTTGAAGAGTAGTTATATTTTGAGAGAAGACGGTTAGACCAGGCGAATAATATTAGAGAGAGATAAACTGGCCAAGCCAATAAAATGGCGTCTGATCACATGTCGTTATTAGGCGAGTGATGTATGCGGTGTTGCCAGATAGATAATTAGGAAGATTACTAAAGTCAAAAATACTGCTAGTTTCACAAGCATATAATAACTTGTATCGTTCACAAATCTTGAAGAATTATTACGATAACTTGACATTTATTTATGGAAGTCAAGCATTAATGATTCAAGTAATTTTACTGTCAAGTTGTTCATCAAAATATAAAGCTACGTGTGAGTGAATCTCCGAGAGATCCAATGATTTCTAAGGAGACCCAAAGAAATTTGAGCAGAGATATTTTGCCACGCTTTTTTTATTGATAATGGAAATGGGAGAAAAGGGATAGTTCTCAGCAAAATCGGCTACAAAACAGCTACAAAGCTGGAGGAGTACGGATGATGGTTTTCTTCAGTGCATTCCCATGCTGAAGAGGTTAAAATCCCATAAAATGGACGGAGTAGCATCAAACAACAACCAAAGCAAACTACTAAAGATAAGGTAGGTAAGGAAAAGGGCACTACTCCATAAACTGGTGATTGGGGCCAAATATCCCAAAATATGGAAACCAAATAAAGGGCCGATACACTTTCTATCTCAACCAAGGCTTCAGCAGGAAAATGACCGACACGAATTTTTGGAAGCCCTCCCCTAGTCAGTTGGCTGTAAATTGATCTCAAAAGTATGAGGGCGTACCAAAATTCGACCACGACTGAACCTACCTACAATACAACACCGCTGGTTGACAGTGGGCAGACCCTAGAAACCCAACTTTGATGCTCGGGAAAAACATTGGCAACTGATGACAAGTATCTTCGTTCAATAAAAATCAACAATGGTTAAAGGTTGTTATTAAATCTATAATTCTACTAAAATAATTAGCACAAGCAACTGCGATTGCATAAAAATAAGGTTGTATTATTTCCCAAGATTGTGTTGTTTTATCAGGCGAGGCCACGTAAAGGTTATAAACAACGTTGAGGGTAAAAGAAATGAGTTTACGAAGAACCAAAGATGTTTTATGGGGAAATTTCTGGGAAGAAAAGAGTAAGTCAGTAATAAAATATTATAACATTAGTGTCGAAAAGATCTCAACACAAAACTGAGTCGCTAAGAAAGAAAGATATATACTAAGTGACATATAAATCCGAACACCCAGTTTAAATGGTTTTATTTTAATAAAAGTTAGTGAATGTATTTATCTTACTGTAAATAACAAGTGAAAACATGTTCAGCCTTATCAGTTGGACATTCCGGTTTTTATAATGCTTTTTTTTAATTCACTAACGCTCTTAAAATGAATATTTCAGCCGCAGTAAAGAATCAACGTTGGTGGATTTTGGTTCTTGACATCCTTTACGATCGGTTACGATGCCTAGAGTACGCAGACCTGTACGATTTCGTCAACTTAGTGAGTTTGATAGGGCCGTATAGTGGGACTTCGGGAAGCTGGACTTTCTTTTCGGGCAATTGCAGTTAGAGGGCAAAGAAGTGTAGACACTGTGGTTAGGTGTTGTCAGGCATGGCTTCGAGAAGGCCGTACGCAAAGAGCAAGGGGCACTGGACACGGCCGTAGAACAACAGACCGTGAAGATCGCCGCCTAAGATTATTGGCCTTAAGGGACCGTTTCTCCACTACCAGGTCCATTGCAAATGAATGGTTTGCAGAACACGGAAGACCTATTGGCATGCGAAGTGTTTACCGACGAATGAGAAGTTTTGGCTTGTTTTCATACCGGCCACACTGGGTCCTTCCTTTAACTCGAGAACACCGGCGTAATCGCCTTGAGTGATGCAGACAACGGTCACTCTGGGATTAGGAATGGAACAGTATTGTCTTTAGTGACGAGTCTCGATTTTGTTTAGGCATGCACGATGGTCGTGCCAGGCTTAGAAGGCGACGTGGTGAAAGGAGGAATCCACAGTTTTTTGTTGAAATACATGTTCATCACACTGTTGGAGTTATGGTTTGGGGTGCTATAGCTTATGGTTCCAGGTCACCTTTAATCTTCATCAGAGGTAACATGAACGCGCAGCGTTATATCCACGAAGTTCTAGAACACCATCTTTTACCCTATCTTGACACCCTGGCAGATCCAACTTTCCAACAAGATAATGCCCGACCACATGTTGCAAGAGTCACAATAGACTTCTTTCAACATAATGATGTCACATTGTTACCATG